TCTTCCGGAAGAGACGGCCGCGGCGCCGGCGGCCACTGTGAGTCGCGTTCGCACCAAGAGGAAGGCGGAATCGCCCGACACCGAGACGCCGGACACGAAGAGCAGACAATTGCTGGCGGGTACGTCGCGACAGAAGGTGGCTGTTGCGAGTGGCAGCAACGTTACGCAACGTCACGCTAAAGTTGCGTCCGAGTCTGTCGAGAGCAAGAAACGGAAATCCACCAACGGACAGCTGTCTGTGAATCCCAGGAAAAAATTTTGCAACGAGGACGAACGAGAAGAGTACATCTCGCAAATTGTCGGCAACGACAACGAGACAGTCAACGTACTTATGGTGAAGGCTGATCGGCTGCGAGCTGATATTGCGGTGAGTGTCTCTTGAAATTGTGATTTCTTATCGGAACTACTTTTACTCTCTCTCTTTTATTTTTTGTTTTTTAACATTTATAAAGGTTTCTACTGATTTCTATATGCAGGCTCTCGAGAATTTAGCGCATGCCAAAGAAATGGAATGGAACGAGATTCTGAGAAAGAGGAAGCTAAAGGAGGAGGCATATGCGAGGCTCGAAAGAAAGATACAGATGACAGCTTACATGGAGAGCGACGGTCAACTACCGGATCCCTTGCCGCTTGCTACATCATCTTTGGAGCCCGCCGAATGGGACAACAGCGACAATGCGATTTCCGTATCGAGAGAGAAATCGTTCGAGTGTAAGGAGGATCTAACCGGAGAAAGATCTTTGGACTCATTGAAAAGGGAGAAAGCTGCAAAGGTTAGCCCGCAGCAACGAATAATTCCCCCGAAAACCAATGGGGAAAGCAATCGTAAACGAAACCAAGCGTCGAGTCCAGAAAGTCGACAGATCGGAGAAGGTCGTCAAGGTGCGATAGTGGATGTCAGATCTATTATCGCTGATCACAGGCTCAAGCATCCAGAAACCGTACCAAGGAGGTAATTACGATTAAATAAGCAAGAGACTTTACAGAGAGAGAGAGCATGACTTTTCTATAGCGTCAAATCGATATCGAGTTCTATATAATATCTGTAAATATTCGAGAAATAAAATGTATGTATATTGGATCAGCATAAAATGTAATTCGTTAAATTATCATCATCTCTTCGGTTAAGACACATCTTATAAAACTAATCTAATTTTTCTAATTACACAGAGGACGAAGGATGAGGAATTCAGTAAATATCGGGCTCGGAGCTGGCGGCGCCATGGTCGAAACGGGACACAATACTGACTCGAGACCATCTAGCACAGAATCGTGCAAAAGCAACCCGAGCACGAACGATTCTATGAACTACAAAGATATATTAGTGCAATTTGCCAAGATGAGCCAACAAGGTAATGTTCGTTTTCTCGAATTTTCAACTTAATTAATTGAGTTTATTTCATAAATTACGAGATGTATTTAATTTGCAATGACATTCGCCGATTGGCCGGTGATTAATGATTTACAGTCACGTTTCAATATTGTGTTTAGGTGAAGGTACTGCAGCTAAGGTACCGCAGAATTATCCGGACGTGACGCTTCACCCTGTAGCGATACCCTCATCCGCGGCCCAGAATACAGCATCTCAACCGACTGGTTCGTTGCTTCATGGGATTCTAACGAAAGCGCAATCGCCAAGATCTACCACTTTTTCACCTACTTTAGCGAGATTACTCACCGCGCCTGAAAGAGAAAGGAATTCTCCGGCGGCAGCGGCAGCGGCGGCGGTGGCGTCTATGTCGCAGCAGAGTGCCACAACCCAACACTTTTCGCAGACGTATCAAGGCTCTAATCTGGTTTCCATAAACGATATCCTGTCTTCTTCCAAGGTTTTTTGCTTTTTTTATTCCATGCAATTATTAATCTTTTTGCAATTTAAATCAGCGTTATTAAAGTCTGCAGTTTTCTTTAACACCATGAGACTGTCGCAGTACTCGAATGTTCGAACGTATTATAACCAAGTTTTATATAGCTTATAAATAACAACAAACAATAGTATATAAATGAACAGTATAAGTTTTATGGAAAATCTAGATTTCCGAAGAAACCCGGAGTTCACTATCTGGGTGAGAAGTTGGGCGAGAAATAAATTCATCTTTTGATAATACGAGTAATACGAGACTTTTTTTAGGCTCGCACAGAGATAACTATAACCCCCGTCGTCAATTCCTCTGCGCAATCTCACTCCAACGATTTAATACAAGTGGTATAAATAATTTCTTTTCAATTTATTCACACACACATACATATTTTTGTGCATATTCCAACTGTCAAATTGAATTTTCTAGGAAGATGTAGAGGAAGAAACAACGGTAATCGATGATAGGAAAGGAAGTTCCACGAGCGGAAGGGACGGTAAACAAGTGGCAAAAGACAATCCGCCTTCACCAAGCGCTCCACCAAAGTGTCAAGGATGCATGATTCGTCCTGCACAATTTGTTTGCGCTGGATGCGGAAATCAGTGGTATTGCAGTCGTACATGTCAGGTATAAACAGTTTAGTTTACGTCGCATATATTAAATCACATTATATCTTACGATTTTTATCGATTTGTATTAATGATTAATAATTATATCAATGATTTATAATATCGGTAGCTTGCCGCATGGGCAACGCATTCCGAGTATTGTTCGGACTACCCGCTCGAGTCCGAGAACAGCAAGGTCAAGCCCAACGTTTAACACCCGACGTCCTTGCAGACTCGGTGTGTACAATGGCATCAAGCGAGAGATATTTGTATAATATGAATCTAGTCAAGAAAGAGAAAGCTCAAGGATATATTGAGCGAGATGCTTAAAGAAGAAAAAACGAGGGATTTGAAGAAAGATCAATGATGTTGATCTAATATGGGAAAGATTTTTGTCGAGGCGAACAGACGATGTTGCCCTATTGAATAGAAAGAAGCATTTATTGACGCTTTAGAACCCCTCCTCTCCCTCTCAAAGAAAATTCTATCTTCTCCTCTTTACAGAGCAAATTCGCAGTTTCTTACATTTGTCGGAATTTTAGATAAACTAACTTCTCTTGATGACCAAAATTAATGAAACATTCGATGCCATTGGTTATAAGTGTTATATATAATTTTTTAGATTTTCTTATACATGGATGTGTGTGTACATATATACAGGATGTCCCACCAAAAGTGGCCGCTTCTTTTTATTTTTTTAACATTTAAACTAAAAGAGATTGACCATAACAAATATATATCAAATTATTATGGGTTAAACTGAACTCTATTGTGACCATAGCAATTATTTATAAAAGCTATCTGTGTTAAGAAACGGAGAGATATGCATAATTTTTTATAACAGTGTGGATATTTCGACACAAAAATTGTAGCTCTATTTTTATGATGTAAGTGCGTTAGAGATTGATGTATGTCATATTGTCATTTGATCATAATACTCGAATCAAAAGTTGATCATATCACAGGGTCGAAAATGAAAAGGTAGACGTTGCCCGCGATATTTTAAGCCGATAAAACTCGTATAATATATAAAATATTTACCTTAAATCATACATTGTTGTATTCGTTTCAAACAGCGCTACGACTTTTATTATGTCGGAATATCCACATTGTTACAAAAAAAAAATATGCATATCTCTCGGTTCATTAAATAGCTTTTATAAGCAACGTTCGTGTTAAATAGCTTTTATAAGCAACTACTATCACAATAGAGTTCAGTTCGAACCACTTAATTTGATATATATTTATTATGGTCTATCTCTTTTAACTTAAAAGATAAAAAGAACTGACTTTTTGGTAGAACATCCTGTATATATATATACGCGCTAGTCGAAGATTTTGAGTTCTCGAGAAATGAATACAGAAGGGAATAAAAAGTAATCCCGAGGCATAAAAGTAAAGCACAATAGTAAGAGTATCGCGATGCTGTACATAATTTTATACGATTTAACAGAGTTGTTCAGCGTCGAAATTTAGAATGTTGATTAATAATCGCGTGCCATGCGTAAGATCAGGGGCGGATTAGGATAAATTAGTCCTGAAAAAGATATTGAGAAATATTTTCTCCATTTTTTTTATTTAGCACTCCATTGTATCGAATAAAACGCCTGGTTTTATAATCGGAATATATTCTTTATAATGAAATACACATTGATTACGTTTATTAAAAGATATTATTTTCAGTGTATACATCAATTGTTCAAATTTTTATATTGTATGTGTTGAAAAACATATATTTTCTTTTTAAATCTTGCTTAGACACTTAAGTTAGAGAGATAACTGTTTTCTTTTTTTTTATAATAATGTGGATCATATTTTGATTTTCTATCTTTGTTTTTTTCTCTCTTTTCCTCTCTTCTTTGTTTTATGTTATAAGGACATAGAAATGATTGGACAGAACATCAAGAAATATATGAAACCTACAAAGTACATTATGTTTGGTACTCACAATATGTGTATTATTCATACAGGAACAATGTGCATTTTGTCGTAAAAAAATTAATTAATAATCGCTCTTTATTCGATACATTGAAAGGGTAAAAATGAGGTATTTAATCTCTCTTTCCTTCTCTTTCTATCTCTCCCTTTCTCCTTGGTTTAAATCCTTAAAAAAATCTACGTTTCTGAAAACTTATTTTACACTCTATGTCCAATTATATTTCTTATCATCTATGATTTGTACAATATATTGACTTTTGTATATGAAACGCAGGCTGCACAAAAGCACAAGTCAGGGCTTGCATACAATTATGTGTAAAAACCTATATAACATGCAATATTTTATATTACTTTGTTACCAACGCATACGTAATATTTAGATTTAACAAAATATTAGTTTTAGTGTACAAATAAGATTCTTTTTTTTATTTCGTTGGTGACATATTTGCATGTTTTAATTCTTTTTTTTAAATTAATATGTTATCTTAAACGACGATTATCCCTGACATAATCTGTAGCCCAAAGTTCCTACAGGTACATGCGATATATATAT